GGTCTGGTTACTACCGTTTATGTCAGAACCGGTGCCATCGTGGCACCGGATACCGGTACCCATCCCTAGTCATGACATTGACTGGTGTGTGTGAAACGCCTCAGAGCTAACTTGAAACACTTTGGCAGAAGTAAATAGTCCTTTATTTAATAATATACATATTATTAATACGCTGTTTTGGGCTCAAACTACAAATGCCATATTAAATATGTTGTAAACAGTTTAAAAATGGATTACATTTTTTATATATGTTAAAAAAAAAGCTCTAAAAAAAACATTTAAAAAAAAAAAAGCATTGATGTTTATGTTTGTGATCCCTTTTTCAGATAACAGTGACCTGATAGCCTGTATGGTGGTCAGTAAAGATGGGGGACAGGCCCAGAGATTCCTCGCTGTAGATGTGTACCAGATGAGTCTGGTGGAACCAGAAAGCAAACGCCTTGGATGGGGTGTCGTCAAATTTGCCGGCCTCTTGCAAGTAAGAAAAAAAAGTGTACGCGTTTGTTGTTTTGTTTTTTTCAGTTGAAATTAAATGTTGAGTGAAAACAATGAATTCTTTTCTGTAATATCGTACTCATTACTTACTCGCTCTTGTTCATATTGATTTATCTCTTTTTTGTTCTCCAGTGTAATTCTGCTCTTTTGTTCTCTAGCACAGGATGTTTCGTATTGCTGTCTTGTTGCGTTCTCATTACTCAGGCATTTTCTTTGTATACTCAGTTCATTGTGTCCTTTTTACAGGAGACATGTAAAGCTCTTAGTGTTGCCTTGAGGGTTTGTGCAGTTGCAGTTCACCTGTTTCAGTGAAAATGCTTAGTCATGCTGAGTAAGAATTTTGTTCCGCGTACTATTGCCAGCAGGTAAGTCTTCAGCAGCTGAAGTGAAAGACTCGTATACGCTTCCTGTCCTCTGAAAATAACCATAATTCCAATTACAAAGAAATCGTGTCCTAAAGAAAATAGTGATTTTATACTAGTGGCTTTAACTTGTCATGAAATGTTTTGAAGCATTTTAGTAAAATGAGAATGCTAAACTCAATGTACAGTTTGCTTGCAGGCATGAAAGGAACACAGATGACGCAAGCACCAGCATGACTCAGCTTATTCGTTACACCTGGAAATTCCCAAGGCTTACGCCCGTATATTGTCTGTTGATTGTTTTAGCATGCTGCAGCCTCACGTGCTTTAACAGAAAGCACAGAAAGAGTCAAATACCTGTCTCACCTCTTATTATTTAATTTTTTTTATCCTTTTTAACAGGTAAAAGTTTTACGGTTAATAGTACGCTCTCCATCTTCAAATCCATCAGCACTGGCGTATACCTGAGGGCTGTGTTAGTTCACCTACTATACTTTAGAGATGGCACGATACCACTTTTTAATGTCCAATACCGATTTGGATATCTGCCGATACCAGTATGAATCCGATATAGTGTATTTTGTAATCAATAAAACTATTTTTTATAAATATCTTGCTGCATTTTGTATAAGTTCATACTCAAGTTTTAAAAAACAAGATACTGAAGCTATTCTGTTATACCTGTATGCAAAAAATGCACTCCACCCAAAACATTTTATAGTTCAGCAACATTGATCAGTCTAATAAATTTAAACCTACACCATCCCCCCTATTCTGGTATTTTAAAGAGTACTTACCTACCTAACTAATAGGGTTGCAAACTCCCAGCAAAAATATTAGGGAACCAATATGGTGTTATTTGTCTCTCAGAAACAGTTCATAACTTCCCTTCAACTCATTCATGTCACCTAAAAGGTAAACCTGTTTCTTCATCACCTGTTCAGCTCTGATGATTCAGTAAGGACATCTCCTGGCTTCATCTTCATGTTTCCCTCTCTCCAGATGTCCAAACCAAGGTCATTACCAGCAGCTTTTACAGCTGTGGCTCCAGCAAACATCAGTTGATACTAGAAAGTAATATTAAATACATTCTAACAACAGCTGATCACGCTTAAACGCGCTGCTTTTGTTTATCCGCTGGTCTCCTCTTTCTAGCGCAAAGTGGGCAAAGTGGACGGGACTTGCGGCAGAAAAGCCGATCAGCTGATCATTGATCAGTTTCATGTTTGAAGTAATAACAGGAGAGGGAGGGGGAGAGAATGAGAGAAGTAGATGCAACTGCGCAGCAAAGACAGAATAACTCCAGCTTTGTGTCTATTTTTTAATTCTAGCTGAAGTACGGGACAAATCGCTTCCTTTTCACCTCAATATGGAACTCCGAGGGCCAGTCCAGCTGTGGCTCAATATATCAGTTGTTAAGCTTAACGTGGAAATACTATGCAAACATTCAGGGATGAACTTACACACTTGCTTTACTTCTCTGGGATAGTTTTCGCCGAGATGAAATGCTGTGGTTAGGAAGCATGTAGCGAGGCTCCAAATGCTCCAACAGACCGCCGACAGGTCTCGCAGACAACAACCGCTCTATCACGTGACACATACTGCTCTGATGCACCGAGCTGGGTTACGCCAAGTAGCGCGTTTTGTGAGGTGATTTTGTGATACTTCGGATTGGATTACATTTTTCATTTCTCTCCAATATCCGATCCAGTAATTTAGTGAGTCCATCTCTACTATACTTACTTACTATACAAATAGATGTCCTAGCAATAACCAAGGTAACTTAATTGTTACATTTTTGGATGACACTGCCAATTGACAATTTTGTCTGCTGGTGTGATGATTTCCATCCGGTCATCAACGGGTAGCCACACAGCAGCAGAAATTAAAACACACAGAACCGTAAACTGACACATAATCAGCCCTACTGTCAGACATTCATTCCAACATACACACAAATAGTCATAAACTATGTCCCAAAAATGAAGAAATTAAAGGAATGCTAACCTATAAAAATGTCATTTAAAACAAAACTAATTAATTTTGTCATATAAGGGTTTTTGGCATTCACATCAATTACTTACTTCTGGTAAGGTATGGCATACCATTATGGCATGGCACTGTTTCTGTCCAGGGGAAATCAAAGCTGGCGCATCTGGTGCGGTCTGCAATGAAGGTGGGAGGACTGAAGAGCGTGCTAAAAAGCGTGCTGAATCGCTTCAAAAATGCATTTGCCCAAAATATGTTGAACTTTTAAATCAGAGTTGAAAACATATCTGCAGGATGGGTTTTGTGGTGTGTTTGTTGTTACTATGTTGAGTGGTTTGACATTACAGATGGATTTATTTCTGTTTCAGTGTTTATTGACTCTTTGTGAAATCAGCTTTTGTTGTCCCTCTGGGGACACTAAAATGCAGATCTATTTCACACAATTTGATCCATCTTATCTTGCATTTTTTGTCCTCTTTCAACAGGACATGCAGGTGTCCGGCGTTGAGGACGACAGCAGAGCGTTAAACATAGTCATTCATAAGCCCAGCTCCAACCCCCACGCCAAGCCCCTGCCCATTCTGCAGGCCAACTTCATCTTTGCAGACCACATTCGCTGCATCATCGCCAAACAGAGGCTAGCCAAAGGCCGTATCCAGGCCCGGCGGATGAAGATGCAAAGGATTGCCGGTTAGAAATCACACAATGAAAAACCACCTTTTAAGTCTTTTGTTTTTACCCAAAATGACCCTTTTCTCGTTAAGCTAGTGGCTTGTTTTCGCTGAGACTGAAAGTCTTCCAGAAACTGCTGTGAAACTGTTCAGTACAGCAACTTTTACAAGAAAACACACTTTATTTAAAACAGAAAGTCGCTGCTTTCTGGTGAACATGGTAAAACGGCCAACAGAAACTTAAAAAACAGAAGTAACCTACAGTGAGAATTTAACAGTGAAAAATTAAATCAGTAATCCAGAACTGAAGCAAACATTAGGAAGGCTTCACAGCCTCAACAAAATGCTAAAATTCAATTTAAGCAAAATTGAAATTGAGACATTTAGTTAGTTAGTTAGTTAGTTATTAAAAGACATTTCAATTTACTAAATTTTGTGTTTGGGAAACTTCAGTCCAAGAGAAGTGAAATTTCATCTCTTTCTTAACTGACGTAGTGTAGGTCATTTCCCTGAATTAGCTTCTGGCTTTCTTCTAAGTTCTAAAAGTGATTTCTTCCCCTTTTTTAAAAAGTTGTCAGTCGTATGTCTGTTTTCTTTTTGTGGCGCTCTGATGATCTCAAAGTCATTTCTTACATTGCTATAATAAGCCTGTTGTTATGCCAGGATATGTTTGACCATCTTCTGGCTAAAGTGGTGGGTGTTTCCTTTAACACAAAAATTACTAAAAAGTCCTTTGGCAAATATGGATGGATTTACC